ACCAGCAAGGATTAGTTTTTATTAGACAAAGTTAATAGATGCTTAACGTGTCTCAGAGAGAACAGAAGGGAACAGTTACACGTTGGGTAACACCAATCCCCATCCTATAACCTAAATATTCTCTTGTAAAGACACGAGTATCGCAAGGCCTGGAGCAAGCTGCAATCAGGTATCAGTATGAGATGAGTCCCAGCCTCTTGTAAACTGCCCACCAAGCCCCAGATAACATCAAAGGTGAGACTGAAAGGATAAGTCAGTACATCCGGGGCACCCGACTGAGTCCACCCCTTCGCTACTCTGTTCACCGTACCCTACATTTAAACTCAATTCATTGCCATGTCTGCAGGTTGGTGGCCATATCTATACAAGATTTAACACATAAGGGTTATTAGCATACTCACAGACTTTGCTGCTGCAACTTATCCCAAGACCATAATATATTCAGCATCTCCCTCTTCCACTTTCCAATCTAGATATCTCTACCTTCCTCATAACTAGAAGCAGATGTTCCATGTAAGTTATTGGAAAAAGAAGAAAAGATTGAGCTGTGTGCTGGAAGCACTCCTTCTACAAGTGTTACCAAAAAGAATCATGGCTTGGAAAAAACTATTCAATGGCTCCAGGTAGCTCCAGAAGCTCAGCTTAGCTTCTGGTAAAAAACAAATGAGCACCATACAGCACATTCTGCTTACTTACTTACATTTTATAAAAAGTGCAAGTATCACATTGTCTTCAATTTTCATTTCAGCTGTATCTTCACATGACAGTCATTCCGCTGCCCACAAGTACAGTTAAACAGCATATTGCAGGCCCGTGCCGCAGCTCATTAGGCTAATCCTCCACCTGTGGCGCCAGCACCCCGGGTTCTAGTCCCGGTCGGGGCACCTGATTCTGTCCCAGTTGCTCCTCTTCCAGTCTAGCTCTCTGCTGTAGCCCGGGAAGGCAGTGGAGGATGGCCCAAGTGCTTGGGCCCTGCACCCACATGGGAGACCAGGAGGAAGCACCTGGCTCCTGGCTTCAGATCAGCGCAGCGCACCAGCCATAGCAACCATTTTGGGGGTGAACCAACGGAAGGAAGACCTTTCTCTCTGTCTTTCTCTCTCTCTCTCTCTCTCACTGTCTAACTCTGTCTGTCAAAAAAAAAAAAAAAAAAACCAGCATATTGCAGTCACATAGAAATTGTTGTATTTAGTTGTATTACATCTCAGGTAATTCAGATGAAAAAAATGCAAATCTTCACAGTTTGCTATCAGAAATTCAGCTCACAATGGTTATTAATTGATCTAAATTTGTTCAAACTTATAAAAGATCTACAATAGGCCGGCGCTGTGGCTCAATAGGCTAATCCTCCTCCTTGCGGTGCCGGCACACTGAGTTCTAGTCCCGGTCGGGGCACCGAATTCTGTCCCGGTTGCCCCTCTTCCAGGCCACCTCTCTGCTGTGGCCCGGGAGTGCAGTGGAGGATGGCCCAAGTGCTTGGGCCCTGCACCCCATGGAAGACCAGGAGAAGCACCTGGCTCCTGCCTTCAGATCAGTGCAGTGCGCCGGCCGTGGTGGCCATTGGAGGGTGAACCAACCGCAAAGGAAGACCTTTCTCTCTGTCTCTCTCTCTCACTGTCCACTCTGCCTGTAAAAAAAAAAAAAAAAAAAAAAAAAAAAAAAAAAAAAAAGATCTACAATAATGGAATAGTATTTAAAATCTGGTTTAATGGTTTAACAGTTAATACATGTTTTCATGTTTTCTACTTTTTTGGTTACTTTGTCTTAATCTATTTTGATCAAATGCCACATTTGGTTGTGTTTTTCTTTAACTTCTGCATTTTCCAAGTGTTCATCCAAACATAGATCAAATTCACCAAGTAGTTTTATGATTCTCATGACATTTCCATTATTTGAAGAATGTAACTTTTAATCATGACCTCCTATTGAGCAAGCCTCATTTAACATGTAATAATTACCACTACTCATCCAAAATAATGGCAAATGTTCCTCAAGACACTGGTAATTGCCTTTATATTTGATTTAGATGAATCCAAATAAACTCAAGCATTCTTAAGCTCTGTGGAGTCTTCAACATGTTTTGAAAGTTTGTGATATGATTATTCATTTTGAAAAATATATGCTGTAAATCAATTTGTTCTGATGAAAACAACTTACTAAGCGAACACTATATGCTGACTTTTGGTTCTTGAATAGGCTGTCCAGGATCTCAAATGTTTCAATTATTTTAAAATTTGAATACTGTGTATTATCTCAAGCCAAATGCAGACATAAGTAGGCCCAACTAAAGTAATATCAGTGCTTCACATTAAAGAACTTCAAGAATGACAACAGAACATCCCACAAGTCCTGAATGAAATGTCTTTCATTTCATAACAAAGTAAATGTAGATAATAAAGATATTAATTATTGGCTTATTACATCACTTTAATTATGATATCCCTACATGGGGTAGCACTGTAGTATTTGTCTCATGCTGACTTATAAATTATTCCATCCACTTCCATGTTTTTGTCAAATTTGTGAGGAATTTGTATTAATTCTTCATTAGATACTTCATAGACTTAGGCCTGAAATTTTTGATACTCTTTAATTAATAACACAATCTCCTTACTTATTATTGGTTTATTCAGATCATCAATGTATTCTTGAGGCCATTTCAGAAGATTGTGTCTTTCTACCAATTTGTCCATCTCATATAACTTCATTTGTTGGCACACAGTTGCTATCGCCTGCAGTGCTGGCATCCGTATGATGCCAGTTTGAGTCCCAGCTGCTCCATTTCCATCCAGCTTCCTGCTAATGGCCTGGGAAAGCCATTTAGGCATAAGATGGCCTAAATATTTGGGCTCCTGCACCCACATGGAAGATGTGGGTGAAGCTCCTCACTCCTAGCTTCAGCCCAGCCCAGTTCTGGCCATTGCAGCCATTTCAGTAGTGAATCAGCAGATGGAAAATCTCTCTTTGTCTCTCCCTCTCTCCCTTTCTGTAACTCTGCCTTTCAAAGAACTAAATGAATCTTAAATAAAAAAGAAATTGGAGAAGATAAAATAAATTTATAAAGCTGTTTAACTTACAATTTGTGGTCCATTAATTCACCTGTATTTGAGTTAGTATCTGGTGTCAGTTTTCACTCCAATACAGTTATGCTCCTATGTGCCTTCTCTGTGCTATTATCATCAAATATATTTCTATATGTTATGGGCTCTGCAATAAAGATGATAAAGCCTTTTATGCAATAGATTTCTGTAAAATCAAGAAGAGAGAGAAGAAAAAAAGCATTACACTGTTTTTTATAATTATATCATTTCCTTAATGATGCTCCTCATGTTTCTATATGGATTGGTATTTACATCTAAGATCACTTGCATTCTGCCTGTAAACCTTCTGTTAGTATTTTTTTATCAACTACATCTGAAAGCAATACATGTTTTCAAGCCTCTAGAGTTGAACACAGTTTCAAATACAGTCAGTTCCTTTGAAGAGCACTTCAGAGCTCCAATTTTATGGGCAACCTCCCTCTGTGAGTCTGAGTCACGCTCCTTCCACTGGACAGTGGTGGTAATCTCTGATCTTCTCTTGCCTCTCTTAGCATAAAAGTGAACCAGAGGAAGGGTAATCAGGACAGGTGTTCCGAGCCTGCTCTGCACGGACCATGGCTTTGACTCTGTGGGTGGAGGATGGGAGAACTTAACCTCTGATCCCACTGACCAGGAATTTAGTCCCTATGCTTCCAGAGAGGAGAAGGCTAGACATGCCAGTAATCTGGCCCTGCAGCCTCCAGCCTCTGCATGTTGAGCAATACCAGGGTACTGTGGGATCAGCAGAGAACCTTGTGTCTCTTCTTCCTTTCTTCTTCCCTTAGAAATGCAATCAGGAAGCTAAAGAACAGCATAGAGTCTAAGAGTATACAGAGTTTAAAATTTGCAGCCATATTGATAGTCTTATTTTCATTATAAAACAGAGACAATTTCACTTACTCTGTATTATTATAGTCAGGACTGAATTAGACACATTGACTTATTTATGCAGGAAACAATTCAATCATAAAAGCTGTTGTTTTCACATTAGTCACTTAGCTACAGAGAGAGGCAGCTTAGTGAGGTGGTTCAAGAATAGGATATGGGATCAAGACTGCCTGGGTTCAAATTATTTGTGATGCTATGATTTCAGATAAAGGATAAAATCTGTGTGTGCATTGGTTTCTCTAAAGCCATAGGGAAATATTTCTTTTAAGATTTAAGGTGTGTAATCTGTAAGGTGTCCGGCACATAACAAATCTTCCCAGGCAGACGAATCAATTAATTCACAGGCTTTTATTGGGGTTCTGCTCCCGGGTGAGGTTCCCCGGTCCCAACAGAGCAACAGAGTAGGGGCTGGAGAAGTCGCATGTCAGAGATTGGGAGAGCTCCTTTTATAGATTCAGGGCATGGGGGTTAAAGGTTGAGGTGGGTCTGATCCTCATTGGTTGACCTTTACAAGGACTTTCTTCCCCAGAAGTAGGCCTCTCCATTCCCAGAAGTATAGGATTTCCCTCCTCGCTGATCCCAAAGCTACCATAATCCATGTGAAGCAGCCAGCATGGGGCCTGGAACCCCCACAGGATACACAGCACCCTCTCTTAACTGCATGCTTGGTGTTAAGTGCAAGAGCTGGGAGTCCATCAATATGCTAGGCATGTCCTGCCCCTCACACAGCCTCTCTAAGGGAAAACCAGCCTCACCTACTGTGGATCAATGATTTTAGATCAGACCTCAAAACATAATAAGGTGCTCCTCGTACTGGGATTTCTGAAGTGACCCCTAATCAGGAAACATGCTCCATGATATTCAATATCTGATGGGCATTGTGAAAACAGCAAAATGTCTCTGCGATCTCTTACGACATAAGGTAAGGATCATGGTTGAGAAAATCACCAATCCTGTCCCTTGCACAACCCTGGAAATTCCTGATGGTTGTTGAGTCACTGCCTACACTGAGTACTTTCAGTTTCACATTACTCTAAACCTATGACAGATGTTGCTTTTTCCTCATTATTTGCTCACTGAAAAAACTCAGAGAGTGTCACAGTTAGAGGGGTGAAATATAAATCCAGCAATCCACTGAGATAGAGCAGTGGAAGAAGCCACTCCGTCTACGCTGCGCAAAGAACAGGTAAGAGCTCTTCTGACTTCTCTCAGAGCAGCCTCCTCCCAGCTATAAAGCAAGCAGGGCAGGCATGGGAAGGGGTAGAATAGAATCAGTTTGTTTCCTGGAAAGTGAATGAAACCTAGAGAAGCTGCAGCTGAACCCGAGGTGGCACAGGGTATCTGTCATCCAGGGCAATGCTTGCCTGAGGGCCACTACTGTTCTGTGGAACCAGGTGGCAGAGACACAAGCTAAACTGGAATTTGAATGCAGGAGGACTGACTTTCTCTTTATTATCATTGCAGGATTAAACCCATTAAGCTACAGGGAGCTTGCTCAGTACTCCTATAGTTGAAAAAGCTGCCCCTGGGTTATTTACATGACAAAGAACAGTCACTGAGATGCAAAAACCCCTGAAACCCAGGGTTTGAGAAGATTCAGGTGCCCAGCCCTCTCTCTAATCACACTGCTGACCTTTGTTTTCAAAGCGGATTTTTTCCCTCAGAAAGGCCCATCCACTCCTTATGCCTTTTTACTGCTTTACCAGAGTGCTTCTATTTAAAGAGCATCCCTGGAGGCAAGATCTCTGTTTACCTTGACCACACATCACCCCAGACAATTTTGACCCAGGCACTGCTGCCCACTGCCCCCTCCTCCAGTACATTGGCAGGGACATGCTTTATTCTCACCTCTTCTCACAGGTCCGCTTTCTCCTTTCCCTATCCACCCCATCCACCCACCCACCCCCACACACAGATATACTCCTTCTCTTCCTATCTCTCCTCCTTCTCTACCAAATGGAAAAATTGAGACTTTAAGTGTTGACTAGGGATTTGAGAGGGGGAGAGAAGGGAGGGAGGAAGCGAAGGAAATATGATTATCTTCTTAGAATTGTACCGGTAAAATACATGAAATGTATTCTCTTTAAATTAATAAAATGTTTTAAAAATAATAAAATAAGCAATGACAGGAAATACAGATATTTTCTTTGAATAACTTCCTATCTAGATTTTTTTCTTGAATTTTTTAATTTATTTGAGAAGCAGAGACAACAAGTATTCCCATCCACTGGTTCAATCCCCAAAAGTTTGCAATGGCTAGAGATAGACTGGGGTGAAAACCAGGAACTGGGAACTCAACCCAGGTCTCCTAGGTGGATGGCAGGGAACCAGCTACTGTAGCAATCACCTGCCACCTCCCAGGGTATGCATTAGCAGGAAGCTGGAGTCAGGAGCTGAAGCCAGGACTCAAAGCCAGGTATTCCAATGTGAAACTCAGGCATCCTGACTGGTAAATTAAATGTCTACTCCTATGTCTACTTTTCTTGATCTGCAGATTGATCTTTTGATCCTTATTGAAAAGTCTTTTTTAAAAGCAGCAATTCAATATATGCAGTTGTACATTCATACTTCCACTGAGTTAGAAGTTAATTTATTATGAAGCATATGAACCTCAAATTTCAGGGCACTGCTCTGTCATAAGCTCCTTCCAAGGCTGTGGATGGGGGCCTACTCATATATTCACCAGGTCACAGTGCCTGCAGTGTTGATATCCCATATGGGCGCTGGTTCAACCTGGGGTCTCCATTTCCAATCCAGCTCTCTGCTATGACCTGGGAAAGCAGTAGACGATGGCCCAAGTGCTTGGGCCCCTGCACCCGCGCAGAAGACCTGGAAAAAACTCCTAGCTCCTGGCTTCAGGTTGGCCCAGTTATGGCCATTGCAGCCATTTGGGGAGTGAATCAGCAGATGAAAGACCTCTCTCTCTCTCTCTCTCTCTCTCTCTCTCCCCCCCTCTACCTCTGCCTGTCTGTAACTCTGCCTTTCAAATAAATAAATATTTTTTTAACAATATACTTACTAGAGAGAGGCAGAGAGATTAGGAAAAGAGAGACAGAGAGAAACGGAGCTCACTTAATTGGTTCACTCCCTACATTCCTGCAATAGCCAGGGTTAAGGCAGTCCAAATCCAGGATCCAAGAACTCAATCTCAGTACCCTTCATGGGTTGCAAGGATCCAATGACTATGGTTACCACCAATAGCTTCCAGGGTCTGGTTTCAGCCGCAGCCAGAAATTGAACACAGGCATTCCAGTGAGGAATGAATATCTTAACCAACAACTTAACTGATAGGCAAAATACCCATCCCTAAATTTTGAAATAAGAATCCAAAAGTTTTACACAGTAAGTCAAATAGAAGCTTTGAGTTATGGACTGATTAAATGTTGATCATCCATTGTCATACTACATTTTTAAAATGAACTGCTTTGATAACAGTTACATGATTTTCTAAAATAGTACATATTTTTCCCCTGTCTATGTTGTTGGCTCACACAAAACCTTTGGCCATGCCATGGAATTTTATGACTCCACTTTGTGAAGACAAAAGACTGGAAACTCTAACTCATTTCACCTCTTCCCTTGCAGACAAAGTGATACTCCAAAATGACCTCAGAGATCCACATGCCAGGCCCCATGTGCCTCATTGAAAACATTAATGGACAACTGTTGGTCAATCAGGAAGCTCTGAAGATCCTGTCTGCCATCAAGCAGCCTGTGGTGGTGGTGGCTATTGTGGGCCTCTACCGCACGGGCAAGTCCTACCTGATGAACAAGCTGGCTGGGAAGAAAAAGGGTGAGTGGCAGCAGCTAAACTCTTTTTCTCCTCTCTCTCCACTCACACTGTCACCACCCAGTCTGGGGAAGTGAGGCAAGCAGGATGAGGACGGGGGTGAACACTGAAAGTCAATGGTTGGACCACAGCTGGTCTTTTTATCTGGACTGTGAACCAGGAGATGAGAGTCGGCTCCTTGCCTCTTCCCAGGATGCCTTAGTTTTTCCTTCTACAAGCAAAAATTGTTCATATTTTAGAGTTAGACAGTAATAAAATAATTAATGTACACAATAATCATGCATAATAAACTACAGAACATTCAAAATGTTCTTGAAGTGACAAGTTTGATTAGATGTCTAAGGTTAAACATTGTTCAATCTGTACTGAAATTTTTATTATTATGTAAAATATATGTGCCATAAGATTTAGCCTTCTTATTGTATTTAAGGTACAATTCTATGGCATTAATAAATGGTCATTGGTGTACAGCCATCACCTCCATCAATCTACACAACTTTTTCATCTCATCTTCTGAGACAGAAAATCTGTACTCAGGGGCCCCACTTTGGTGTAGTGGGTAAAACCACTGCCTACTACACCAGTATTCTATATGGGTACCAGATCGAGACCCATCTATTTAGGGATCCCTCTTGAGAATCCTTGAAATTATACAGATTTTCCTACTTCTAAAAAAATAATCTATGGAATTTTGATGGGCATTGTATTGAATCTGTAAATTACTTTGGGTAGTAGTTACATTTTAAGAATACAAAAGCTGCCAACCCATTAATGATATCTTTCCAGCTATTTATGTCTTGAGTTCTTTCAAGAAGGTCTTTAAGTTTTATCTATATGAGTCTTTCATATCCTTAGTTAAGGTTATGCCTAAGTAGTTTATCTTTTTAAAAAAAAAAGGTTTATTATATATCAAGCATTTTCTCTGCCATAGGCACTAGGCTAGTTTTCATAATTATATCATCACATAAAATACAAGCTATTGTTGTCCTTTATTAGGATGAAATTATTGTTTTCAGAAGTTATGAAACTTGCTTGAGTAAAAGTTTAAGTAGTAATAATAAATGGTAGCTCTTGAATTAAAACCAAAGTCAACTTGACTCTAGAATATGAGGCTTTAAATCAAACAGCCCTACTGCTTCTCCAATTTCACTTCTGAAATTTGATTAAATAAATTTCATGAAAATCATGAGATTGGCCAGTAGTGATTTTGGAGAAATAATCTTTAGCTCAGTAAAGCAAAATTCCAGAAATCTCATTACCTATGTCAACAATGCCTCAAATCTATATGTGCCTATTTATTCTGCATGATAGGGAGTCAAGGAGAAGGAGTGGGATAGGCTGCATGGATATATGTAGGCTATTATCTAGGGCTTGGCTTTTGTTGAAGCTGGTTTGTCCACCAGGAGTGTTATTTTTTAAAAAAAATCAACAAATAACTCAAAGCAGGCCTTGCTTGAACCAATTCATGATGACCATGCCATGGATAAAGGATTTTGCCTAAAAATAAATATATAATAAAAATAAATTTTTAAAAGGTTTCTTTATTTATTTGGAAGTCAGAGTGACAGAGAGGGAGAGACACAGAAATCTTCCGTCCGCTGGTTTACTCCCCAAATAGTCACAATAGCTAGAGTTGGGCCAGACTGAAGCCAGGAGTTTCAACTGAGTCTCCATGAAGGGATCAAGCACTTGGCCACCCTCTGATGCTTCCTCAGGCCATCAGCAGGGAGCTGGACTGGAAGTGGAGCAGTCAGGACATGAACCAACACCCAATTGGAATGCCATTGTTGTAGATAGCATCTTTACCTGCTATGTCATAACACCAGATCCAGTAGTTTATTCTTCTGATGTTATACGAAAAAAGATTATTTTCTGATTGGTTCAACATGGCAGATGTGCTGCTGAGGTCATATGGTGCTTCGACCACCACCATGTGGCTGAGGGTCCAAAACTGAGTCAAGGTTTAATAGGTTAAAAAATGTTTGGAGCCAGGAGCCTGTAATTTGTTTTTAATCCTGTGGTTTCATGCTGAAGACACTGTCATGACATCTGGTAAGACTGATCTGATTGTTCACAGAGCAACTCATTTCTATACACTGATTTTGTACGCTACAACTTTGCTGAGTACACTTATTAGTTCCAACAGGGTTTTGTGGTCTACTTAACGTTTTCTACATATAAGAGCAGGTCATCTGCTAACAGAAAGTTTCATTTTTCCCTTTGTAATTGTTATGCCCTCTATTAAATTTTCTTACAGAGTTTCCTTTTTGCTTCCAGTATTATGTTGAACAACATGGCAAAAGACATCATTCTCTTCTTATGTATGATCTCAGAGAAAAAGCTTTCTTGTTTTTATCATTGAATGTGATGCAAATTTCTCATATATGGCATTTACTATGTTATGTTTACTTCCTTCTATTTCTAATTCATTGATTGTTTTTTATCATGAATGTGTGCTGCATTTTTTTCATATGTTGGGTACCTTAATTTTCCTTTTGCTCTGATTATTATATGTGACATAAATACTGATTGTGGATATGTATATCTCTCATAACTTCTATTATACTAACATTTATCTCAATTTCCCTAACTCCTGGCTCCTAACCATGCATGTGTCCTTTCTGATGCCTCTCCTCTCTGCAGGCTTCTCTCTGGGATCCACGGTACAGTCTCACACCAAGGGCATCTGGATGTGGTGTGTGCCCCACCCCAAGAAGCCAGACCATGCCCTAGTTCTGCTTGACACTGAGGGTTTGGGAGATGTAGAGAAGGTAAAGAATGGGCATCAATTTTGGATTAACTCCTCATTCCTGAACATCCTCTAAAATACGTGGTTTTCCTTAAATAAGAGCTTGCATTCAACCATCATAAATCTGTTTCTTTTTACCTGCATGAGAATTAGTTCAGCAACCAGAGGTGAGGAAAATATTCATAGGCAAAATCCTAGTAGAAGAGCCTGGTGGTCAGTTGAGAGTGTTCTAACTATTAACAGGCTATAAACTAAGCAAGTTTACCCAGGTGCCAAAAGGTACCACAAATAAGCTGTCTTACTTGACAGAGACCTTCAGTTAAGGATTTGGCTTGTAAAGCCCCATAACTCTGTGTTTAAATTGAAACAGTCTCACTAGTTCATTGGCTTTAGCAAGTTGACTTCTTTAGCCTCAGCTTTCTGATTTGTAAAATGGATATAAAAGATCTATATTTGCTTTGCAGTATTGTTTTGGGTATTATATAAGATTACTAATGTGTTAAAATGCCTAATGACTTCACACTTAAATAGCTACAAATATTATAAATCTTACTTAAATCATTTTTATTATACAAATATAAAATTATAAATTTTAATTATGTTTCAAGTCTTGGAATGTCTGTTTTATAATTGTCCGCCAATAATCATAAGAAGGCCTCATGAGAATTAGTGTAAACCAAAAATTCTAACAAAAGATATCAAAAGTCAAAGTTCAACAGAGAACCATTTTTCTTTGGATTTAGGTTCCTTTTATAGGTAGTCTTTAAAAAAACACTCCAATTAGGTGAGTATATTTTTACTGCTGATCTGGAAAGTGCCACGAGAATGAATTGATGGAATGTGTTCTGACTTTCAGGGGGACAATCAGAATGACTCCTGGATCTTTGCCCTGGCAATCCTCCTGAGCAGCACCTTTGTTTACAATAGCATGGGAACCATCAACCAGCAGGCCATGGACCAACTGCAGTATCCTTTCTGTGGTCCAAATTAGCACAGATTCCGAGAGGAGATCTGCACTAATAATCCAGCTGTGAGATTTTAAAGCAAGTGCAAAACAAAACAAAACAAAAAACATAAAAAGTAATTCAAGGTACAGCAGGTTAAGCCCCAGCTTGTGATGTCCACATCCCATATTTGAGGGCCTGGTTTTGAGTCTGGCCACTCTGCTTCTGACCCGACTTCCTCCTAATGCACCTTGGAAATGATATTGGAGAGGCAGCTAGTTAGGTCTGTGAAGCTGGAAGCCAGAAGCCACTATAGCCTGCTCACCCTCCTGCCCATGTCCCCTCCTTCTTGTCAATCAAGCACCCTGTCCCAAGATGTATCTCCTTCACCTGGGACCTGGCAGACAGACACCATTATGTTTTAGACAAAATAGGGTTTAATTTTTATTACAGGCTCTTGCCAAGCATAATGGGATTCTTAATGCTGGCATATATAAGATAAATTTTAATCAGAAGATGAGAAAGTGAACATAAACACATGTGAACATGGAATGCCCCACACCTAGAGATACCCATCATGAATTGGAAGTGGGACCAGAAGAGAAAGGGGGTAAAAGAGGGGGAGGTGAGAGAGAGAGAGAGAAAGAGATGTCCAGATGTGAACCTCTTTTATGAGGCTGTAGGGCAGAGTGACTATTTACATGGTGTCTACCTCCCAGGTCCCAGGTGAAGGAGATTCATCCCAGGAAGGGGGTGGTTTGATTGTCAAGGGGTTGGGAGTTGGGGAAGGCTTATGGCTTCCAGCCTTGCAGATCTAACTACCTGTCTATCCCATGTCAGAAACAGCAAGTTTTGTCTCAAGTACTTGAGTCCCTGCCATCTGTATAGGAGATCTGAAAGGAATCCCTGGTCCCTGGCTTTAGCCTGGACTGGTGCTGGCTGTTTCAGCCATTTGGGGATTGAACCAGTGGATAGAAGATATATCTCCCTCTCTCTTTTTCTCTCCTTCCCTCCCTCCTACCCTGCATCTCTTTTTGTCACTCTTTTACCTAAATAAATAAATCATTTAAGAAAACAATTCAAATCAAGGGAAAGAAGCCAAGTATTTAGTGAAGAATTGATACCTAGGTGAGAACAAAGGCACAATGAATGTTTGGGAAGATGTGGAACTAATACAGAATTGGGATATGGTTATTTTCACCAGTTTTCCTTAGTTAACACTCAGCTATGTGACTGAACTGACAGATCGCATAAGAGCAAAATCCTCACCTGATGCAAATGAGGTGGAGGATTCATCTGACTTTGTGAGCTTCTTCCCAGACTTTGTGTGGACACTGAGAGATTTTTCCCTGGACTTGGAAGTAGATGGACAAGCCATCTCAGCAGACCAGTATCTGGAGAATTCACTCAAGCTAAAGCATGGTAATGGATGTGTGGCCAGTAAATGGGGATGACAGAACACCAGACATTACAATTTTTGAGTTTTCTTATATTTACAGCTTTTTATTTCTTCCAGCTAGTAATTCCAAGAAAATAATGCTTGTTTAATATCAATTTGATTTTAAATTATTTTCTCCCTTGTTCTAAAAGCAACTTTCTTTTTATCTCACATCTCACTTTGTTATGACTTGGTAAATGTTGTCTCCTTGCTTAGGGTCTGTGATTCTGTATTTATCTAAAGAATACAGAGTAAAATGAATCCATATATTTGAAGAAAATCAACTAAAGCATGAAGAGAATATTTGTCCAAGTACTGATCAATGACACCACACAAGTAATATTATCAATACAGTGATGCCATTTTTTCTTAAATAAGGTTCATTGCAAAATGCTATGCCCATTCATTTATGTAGTGTCTATGGCTGCTTTCATGTTATAATACTCGAATGGAGTACATAAAGAAAGCCCATCTGACCAGAAAAACCTAAACTATGTATATTTGGCTCTTCACAGAAAGTTTGTAAACACTTATTTTAGGCAAATCCTTTTATGTTCCCTAGGCACCGGTGAAAAAATTAAAAATTTTAATCTGCCAAGACTCTGTATCCGGATGTTCTTCCCAAAGAAGAAATGCTTTATCTTCGATAGACCTACGCACCGGAAGAAGCTTGGCCAGCTCGAGACAATGCACGATGATGAACTAGATCCAGAATTTGTGCGACAAGTGGCCGAATTCTGTTCCTACATCTTCAGCAATTCCAAGACTAAAACTCTTTCAGGAGGCATCAGGATTGATGGCCCTCGTAAGTCCCCTTTCTGGTCCCTCCAGCTTCAGCTTTAAAAAATGCAAATCTACCACCATTCTTGTGTTAAATTTCAGATGTCACCTGCATTTCTAATGGATTTTGTTGGTAGAATTCCCTGGTGAGAAAGGCAGAAAGGACCAATGAAAAGCTGTATTGCTCAAAACTTTCCAAGTAACCTGGACATGCACTATCCAATCTGAGAGTCATTAGACTAGTGTGCCTATTTAAATTTAAATGTAGATAAATTAAAATGAAAGCAAAGTAAAAATTCAGGTCACATGGTTACATTTCTTAGCTAGATGTGGCTTGTGACTACTCTGTTATACAGCATAGCATCAATTATTCCATGAATAGTGATCAAAACAGGCTTACTATGGACAAGGCTGATGGTGAAATGAAAGTGGTATGCCTCCCAACACAACCATGCTTGAGGTTAAAATGGATGCAAATATGCAATAACCACAGGCCTATGTAATCTAGAAACCAGATTCCCTATGCTTGCTGTGCTTACAATACCTATCATCTGGGGATCTTGCTAAACAGAAGGGTCTGATTAAGGAAATCTGAGCAGAAGCAAAGATTCTGCATTTCTAGCGAGTTTCCAGGTGACCCTGTGGACACTGATGCAGTGAGGCAAATGGATGGGAAATGAAATGCTCAGAATTACACAGAATGGCAGCATTGTCTTCACTCAACCTGCAACAAACATCACCATTTGTGCTTCATTTGTAGGTCTGGAGAACCTGGTGTTGACCTATGTCAGTGCCATCAGCAGTGGGGATCTGCCCTGCATGGAGAACGCAGTGCTGGCCTTGGCCGAGATAGAGAACTCAGCTGCAGTGCGAAAAGCCATTGCTCACTATGACCAGCAGATGAGCCAGAAGGTGCAGCTGCCCACAGAAACCCTCCAGGAGCTGCTGGATCTGCATAGGACCAGTGAGAGAGAAGCCATTGAAGTCTTCATCAAGAATTCCTTCAAAGATGTTGACCATTCATTTCAAAAGGAATTAGCGGTAACTTTTCTCCTAAGTTCATGTAGATATAGATGAAAGCAAAGTACTACTAGGAAGTGAAATGGGTTCTTATATTGAAAGAGGTGATTATCAATAGATTTTAAAATGGTGAGAGCTATCTTTTGATAATAATAATAATCAGATGAGAATTTTATTTATACAGACATAAGGCTTTGAAACATGTGTCTTTCACGAATAAGCTAATACTCCTCCCCTTAGTTGGATTCAGTGCATATAAGTAATAATCAAAACCTATAATCAGATTACATACCCACTGGTATCAGACTGATTTGAAAGTCTAGCCAAGGCCAAAGAAAATTTTATTGTTAGTTTCTTGAGAAGGCTTATGTTGCACTACATTTATTCTACATGCAGTCATTTGTCCAATCTGAAAAAAAGTTGACCTTTACTTCCTAAGATGTGGCATGAAGCTAGCAATCTCTACTGTGAACTTCACCTCCCACGAGAAAGACACTTTAGTACAGAATTGGGATCAGGAGGAAGAATCGAGTCTTGAGACAGTACCTATAATTTTCTAGGGGAAATAGACCTTTTTCAAAGAAGTATTTTCAAAATTCTGAGCTCAGGCTAACCTCTCTTCCATGCTCTTCTTTTTGCTTCCTATTTTTCCATGAAAGGCCCAGCTAGAAAAAAAGCAGAATGACTTTGTAAATCAGAATATGGAAGCATCATCAGAGCGTTGCTCAGCTTTACTTCAGGACATTTTCCAACCTCTAGAAGAAAGTATGAAGCAAGGGGTCTTTTCTAAACCGAAGGGCTATCGCCTCTTGATTCAGAGGATGCAAGAACTGAAAGAACAATACTATCAGGCACCTGGGAAAGGGATACAGGTAACCATGAGTTTTCTTTGATTATGGGAAACTGTTAATATGCCTCCTTGAAACATCAATATGACCAAGTATAATTGCAAAGAGACATACATTACTGTCTGCCTAGCATTCATCTTTTTATTCAATGACATATACAAGAGTTCAGTTACACCAGATATGTACCTGGTACTCATTAAAGTACATGCAATTAGCAATAGATTTATAAACTGACTCATGAGATTAACAATGAAACTGCTGTTATCGTCCATTATTACAGCTGGATTGTGGTTTGCAAGGGAGAGAAACTCAAAAACAATTCCTTAAACAAAAATGACCATTCATCAGTCTGAGGTTCAAACTGGCAATGAAGGCCAACTGGATCCAAGATTTTCAACTATGTCATCATCTGTCTTTCTGCCCATTGCTTTCCCACACCTCCACATGTGCCTCCCTCCCTCCCCACATCCTCCACCTCCTACTCTGATCTGCCTTCTCCTGGATAGCTTCATTCTCCAGCAAACTCACTCCTATGGGACCACAGCACCAACAGCTCCATACTTAAAGCCCGCAATCTAAAACCACAGAGTCACTTTTCCCCAGTATCTGTATCGGCTCCCTTTTAGGAACTGATTAGGGAGGTGGGGTTGTGATTGATTAGCCAACCTAGAGTTTGAGTCTGCATCGTGAAATGGAATCTTGAACACTGGGTTCACTGGGGCCAAGAGCAGCAATTCTTATAGAAAAAGAGCTGAGAGACGGGGAGAAATGCTTCCAGTCATTTCCTATGCCAACTCTATCCTCTGGGTTCTAAGGCTGAAGAGACTCTGCAGAAATACTTGAAATCCAAGGAATCGGCCATTGATGCAATTCTGCAGACAGACCAGACCCTCACAGAGAAAGAAAAGGATATTGAAGGTGAGTGACTCAAAAGAGTGTAGATACTCACATAATCTCTTACAATTTATATAATTTGACTGCATGAACCTGATGTCTTTAAACTGGAGAAAGAAGAGCAGAGATGTGTCTTACAAGTGGAAGTCACATCTGAGGAGGGGCTATCTAGCCAGCAGCAATGATAACCCCATGAACATTTTCTTTCTTCCTTTTCCTTTGCAGTGGAACGTGTGAAGGCTGAGGCTGCAGAGGCTAACGTAAAAATGTTGGAGGAATTACAGAAAAAGAATCAGCAGATGATGGAGCAGAAAGAGAAGAGTTATCAGGAGCATGTGAAACAGTTGACTGACAAGATGGAGAGAGACCGGGTCCAGATGCTACAAGAGCAGGAGAGGACTCTGGCCCTTAAACTTCAGGTATTCCATGGCATCACCTTCAGGTTTCTGCTTTTCTGCTTTCTCTCCTTCTTCTTGACCACAAAAACTGTGCAGAAGGGGAACACAAAGCCCAAAGACAGACCTTGCTTGCTCATTTGCACTCTTCAATCCCTGCCTGCCTACTGGCCTGTCTGTGCCCCTATCTGATAACTAACACATCAGTGTTTGTGCCATATCCATGCTTTACTGGTGAGTCCTTCAGTTAACAGTTGCCCTTATCTGTGATGTATCACAAAATTGTCTTAATCTGTGTCTCTTACTGAATCGTATGCAAGCAATGACTAGATCCCTATATTCAGGAAAGCACACAGAGGTTCAGAAAAGACTAAATAACTTTCCTAATATCATAGAGTTAGTAAAACATCCACCACTTAGTGGAGTCCACAGTAATTTTTTTTTATGTTGCATCTGATGTGACTGTCACTCCATGAGAATTTTCTGAGCAAGACTCCTTAGTTCTCGCACCTGGGTGAGTCTGCAATGCCCTCTTGCTCTGAGTCTATGTTGTGCAGAAAATCACATGCAGAAATTCAATGTGGCCACTCTAGGACTCTGAGTTTCTTGCCTATCTCCTGCCAACCCTGCCACCACATTTTAGAGGGCTAACATCCTGATACACATCAGGTGCTTCATCAGATTTTGAGAATACTTTATTTCAGGGTTAGGTGTAGAGATATAAACATGTATGTAGGAGGATGAGTAACAGAGTTCAGTAATGCAGAGATGAGATTTGAAGCCAAATGCATGACTGAGGTTTCCAACTAACATCATGTACGATGAATAGGAGGGAAAGCAAAACTGGTAATGAGGTTCATGAGTGGGTCAGGAGGTGTGGTAGCTGAAACTCTCTCTTAGTCAATGGACCCAGGAGAAATAATCACAGAGTTCAGATGCCCAAGAAAAAGTGCACTGATTACTAGGGGTAGGGTAGGGAAAGTTTCAAAGAGAAATTAAGAACTAAAAACTCAATGAGTGCAGAAATTACACAGAGGGGTTTGCTTAAAACTAACTGTATTCTGTTTCATTTTCACTTTTTAGGAACAAGCTCGACTAATGAATGAGGGATTTGCAAATGAGAGCAAACGACTTACTAATGAGATAGAGAGTCTCCGCAGGCAGATGAGACCACCAAGGAGAAGATGTGTTATAAGCTAAGGACCTTAGGGATGGGTCTTTCCTGTCTCCCTAACCCAAGGCATAGTGTCATGTGTTACCTCACTTGCAAATCCTTAGGCCTTGCATCACAACACCAAAGACATAGAAGTATAACAGTTGAAATCATGTTCTTCCAAAAAAGATTGTAAATTCTGTAGCAAAGAATGATTTTGCCTCACTACCAATACAGGAGATACCACAGAGGAATCATTCAGGAGATGTCTATTCTTCCGGTTGACAAATATATTCTGAGCTAAGTCATGGATAAAAGACTTGGGACGTAGTTGGACATCAGTTTAGAAAACTCTACCATGGTCACAGAAGCAGGGATAGCCATCTTAATTTTTTCTGAAGATAATATGAAGTTCTGCGTTATGTTAAAGCTATAGTCTATGAGCAATAATATAGGGTAGGGGCAGTGGATAATCTTCACTAATGGATTCCAAGCCAAAGTAAACTACTTTATATAAGCTCTAGAATGTCTGAATAATTTCCACAGGAAGATGGAAGAAATCATCAACATGGAGAGTTGGGTCACATGAGCTAAGGCAAGAAGCTTCCCTTTCTTTCTCGGTTCACCCAGATTATAACTTTAATGGAACCCTTTAGAATTTAGGATAAATGACACTGGATTAAGCTCAGTAACATGATGGCACTTATACATGAAGTATTTAGGAATGCATAATTTTCAAAGGCTGAATTTAAATGATTATGGGTAGCATGTGAGAAAACAAAAGTATTAATGACTTGATGACTTACAATACTAAAGTTTAGCCTAGTGTTTTCCTAGTGGTTCATCTTAACAATTGACATCCTTGTGATTTTCTTCAAAGAGCATGTATTTGAAATGTTTTCTATATTTTTCACCAATAAAGTGTTGCTCTTGTTATTACCTGGTATTTGTAGACTATATCCAATTGCCAAAAGTCTAGGTGGGCTGGCACTGTGGTGTGGTGGGTTAAGCCTCTGCCTGTGGCTCCAGCATCCCATATGGGTGCCGGTTTGTGTCCCAGCTACCCCTCTTCCAATTCAGCTCTCTGCTAATGGATTGGGAAAGCAATGGAAGATGGCCTGGGTGCTTGGGCCCCTGCACCCACATGGGTGACTTGGAGGAGACTCTTGGATCCCAGCTTCTCTCTCTGTCTATCCCTCTTTCTGTATGTAACTCTCCCTCTCAAGAAGAGAGAAAAATGAAAAAAAAAAAAAAGTTTAGGTGAACAATTGTCTTTTCTTAAAGTTATTAGTAATTATTTTCAAGCTGAAAATAAAACATATTTCACTAGCCTTATCCCTAATTGAGTGTTCTTTACAGTTTCTTACAAAACAATAAGGTTTTAGTCTTCCTAGCAATGATTGGCCAACTTTTCTGCAAAATACTAGATAGCAACAATTTATGGCTTTGCAGATCATTTAGCCCCTGTCTCAACTACCCAACCATGCACATAGAGAAAATGCAGCTGTAGAGACAATATAGAAATGAATGAGCCTGGCTACATTCCAGTAAAACCTTTTTATCAAAAACAGGAAGCACTCACAAGCCACCGTTTGCAGAATTCTGCTTTCTAGAAGCACTGATTAAAGTTTTATACCCCTGCCTGTGTTACTTAAAAGAATCACATGGATTAGATTGTATATGTTAGCATCTTGAAAATGTTACCTGCTCAGAAAAGGTCAGGGAAGCAGCAACTGCCGTTAACTCCACATGAACAACCCTCCTTTTTCTCATTTTATCACTTTGAACCTCTCCTGTGCCCATCAGATGGCAAATTCCTCCTTGCACAGTTGGGTCTGAGACTGGCAAACAGTATTTGCTCCCTTGAACTGAAATTTCACAAGAGACCCGATAAGACAGCATATTAGATGGAATGTTTATGTAGATATACTTTGTTTTCTTTTTTAAGCTAGATGCTACAGAGAAATATAGGAAATATATTTTATTAGTTGAAGAAACTCAGGGATAGAATAAAAATAAACTGTCTTCAAACTAAAAATAATGGGGAGCAGATGTTTGGTGCAGTGTCATTAGTGGCCATTTACAACACCCATGTCCCATATCAGAAAGCCTGGTTGAGTCTTCACTAAGCTGCTTCCAGTCCAGTTTCCAGCTAATATGCTAATAAACAGCAAGTGATGGCTATAGTACTTGGGTCTCTACCACCCACGTGGAGGACCTGGATGGAGTTCCAGGTTCTTGTTTTCAGCTTGGCCCTACCTACCCTGGTTTGTGGGGCATTTGAGGAATGAACAAGCAGATGGAATATAAATTTCTCTGTGTGTGACCCCCTTTCAAATAAAATGAATTTTTTAAAAAATAAACTGTATAGGCCAATGCCATGGCTCAATAGGCTAATCCTCCGCCTGCAGCACTGGCACACCGGGTTCTAGTCCCAGTCGGGGCGCCGGATTCTGTCCCGGTTGCCCCTCTTCCAGGCCAGCTCTCTGCTATGGCCCAGGAGTGCAGTTGAGGACCCCCAAGTGCTTGGGCCCTGCACCTTCAAGGGAGACCAGGAGAAGCACCTGGCTCCTGCCTTCGGATCAGCATGATGTGCCGGCTGCAGTGCACCAGCCGTGGCGGCCATTAGAGGGTGAACCAATGGCAAAAAGGAAGACCTTTCTCTCTGTCTCTCTCTCTCTCACTATCCACTCTGCCTGTCAAAAATAAATAAATTTAAAAAATTTAAAAAAAACTGTATAATGGTTTCTTTATTAACCACATACAAATAAGAAAATTGAGACTCAGCGAAACTGCTACTTCTTCTCTAGCTTGGTAACATCAAAGTCCAGTACAGATTCCAAGTCATGTGACTATTGGTTTCATGATTTTTTTTTAAACAGTATTTCCAGGAACAGCAACAATAAGCTCACTCTCCATAGATGCCTATTGCTGTCACCAGTGCTCCTCAGTCCTGCTGCATGTTAAAAGCAACTCATTAAATAGAAAGACTCCCTGACCCCTCCCTGCCTCTGACTATGAGTTGGTGTACTTCATTGGTTGCAACAATAAAAAGAGAAGGATGACACATACTCAATATGCCAATGCTACCACAGGTTGAGACCTATGTTTCATGACCCTGATGGTGTTCCTTTTTCAAAAATCATTTGAGATTCTGGTATTGTGGCTCAACAGGTTAAAGCCATGGCCTGCAGCGCTGGCATCCCATATGGACACCAGTTTCAGTCCCAGCTGCTTCACTTCCAATCCAGCTCCCTGCTAATGTGCCTGGGAAAGCAGCAGAGTGGGCCTCAAGAGCTTGTTGAATCTCAGGCTCCTGACTTCAGCCTGGCCCAACCCTGGCTGTTGTGTTTATTTTGGGAGTGAACCAATAGATGGAAGATCTCTCTTTTGTCTCTCCCTCTCTCTCTCTTACTCTGCCTTTCAAATAAATAAATAAATCTTTTTTTAAAAGAAGTCATGAGTTTAGAACACTAGTCTTCTGTTGGTAAGTGATAACTACTTATGCTTTAACCTATGGGTTTAGCAACAGGAAATACAGTTTCCCCTTATTTAGGGAAAGGAAACTCACCAAACAGTGAAATCGTGACCGAAGCCCATAAGTCCTCCAGAGAAATCTGCCTTTCAAATGTCCAGGCTCAAGAACCGACTAAGCCCACTGTGCACTTACTCCTCATGTAGGATCTTTGTCCTTAGTGTGCTGTACATTGAGATTTAATGCTATAACTAGTACTCAAACAGTATTTTACACTTTATGTTTTTGTGTGGAAGCAAACTGTTGAAATCTTTACTTAATGTATGCTAAACTGATCTTCTTTATATAAAGAGAATTGAAAATGAATCTTGATGTGAATGGAAGGGGAGAGGGAGTGGGAAAGGGGATGGTTGCGGGTGGGAGGGAAGTTATGGGGGGGAAGCCATTGTAATTCATAAGCTGTACTTTGGAAATTTATACTCATTAAATAAAAGTTAAAAAAAAAAACTAAAAAAAAAAAAAAAAAGAACCAACTAAGCCGAAGAAGCTACCCCTACCAAAAAAATAAAAACACACATAAATATTCAGGAAATCCTAAAAAAAATATTTAGGAAATCCTTTTCATCTTTGATACATCAAACCGGCACACTAGAATTAACAATCTGACAACTCTGTGTGTATCAGTTGAGAATTCTGATGAAAGGACTAATGTCTCTAAAAGCACAAACTACTAAAAATCCCAAGATAAAACAGATAACTACAATTACCTTGTAACTTATAAAGAAGACAATTTTGCAGGAAAACAAATCTGAACATAAGTTTTCTAGATCCAGATGGCTTCTCTTAGCTGGCAAATTTTACTAAGAATTCAAAGAAAAAAAGAATATCAACCCTACACAGTTTCTTTCAGAAAATAGAAGATAGGGGATAATTTCCTTATGTGTTCTATGAGGGCAGAATTATCCTGATACCAAATTCAGACAAACACAATACCAGAAAAGAGAGAGAAAATATAGATCATTACCTCTTATGAACATAGATGCAAAAATCCTCAACAAATTATTAGCAAAGCTAATCAAGCAATATATAAAAAACAATGTGCTCCTACAAAGTGGGATTTATCCTGGACATGCAAGGTTGGTTCAAAAACCAATTAATGTAAATCACCACAGTGCAAATACAAAGAATAACAAAAGATTACAGATTGTTCCAGAAAAATCCACATATAATAAAACTCAACAAATTATCCACTCAGGTAAGTTCTACTTAAGGCACTTACTGAGTCAATGTAGTCCTCATATTTTTGCTCTTTATATACCCACATGCACACGGCTAATTGTGTTTCCAACTTGGAGATCCTGACTCCATTCAATCTTACCCCAGTGACCCTTTGAATTAATGATTCCTACTGCTATGCACTCAGGAGCCTACTGCCTGCTGTCTTTTACATGAAAGCAGCTGATTATAAAAACAGTTCATTCCTGAAATTGAATCCATCCTTGAAACCCTAATATTTATAACAGCATTTGAAACCAGTTATCAAAGATATAGATATGATTTTATAGGGCAATAAAACTCAATTGAGTTAATATGATCCACATATTTCTATTAGAAGGATACAAAGGTTCCATAGACTACAACCAACTCAACTGGAAAGGGAGGAAATTAGCTCACTCATATTCAGGCTTCAGAAGAAAAAGTCCCTGGATATAAAAACAAAATACACAAAATTTACAGTTTATTATAGTACTCAGGAAGGAGCCATTTTCTTAACATCCAGTCTATTTCCAAGAAACTGAGAGCCTACTGCTACTTTCAGTCTCAATACAACATCAGGTTCAAAAACAATAAATAAAAGCTTCATTTTGTCCCAAATTAACACCAGAAATCCTTTATTCACAAAAAAAGGGGAGTAGGACCCAGACTTTTCATTCATAAGACTAACAAGTCTTTGAATGCATGGAAACCAGAAAGTTTCAGTCCACTTTGGCAGAATATGGAGCTATAAATGAACCTAATTTGATCTTCTATTAGCTCAGTGACTTGTCATTTGAAGAAACCCCAAATCAACTGTCAGCAAACCAACTGTCAGCACCTTGTGGCCTCATAAACTCCTACTGAAAAGCCATTAAACATCTTTAACTGTGCTTGTTGATCTGTAAATTGTAGATACTACAACCTACAATTTAAGCACATAGAAAAGAAAGAATAGCACATTGCTATGCAGTAGATACCACATGCATTTTACTTCTGAATATAACAGCAATTCAGGCTTCATTGCCTCAAGGATGCTTTTGTACTATGAGATGAAAATGTGGTGAAATAAATATATATTCTTATTTATGTTCTTCTTCAGTAGTAATTGAAAGGATCCTATTTAAACAACATTGTGTCAGTTGAGGTAAGGTTAAAAAGCATGATCCCATCTATTGGGGAGGAGGTGAAGATCAGATAAACACTT